GCAGGAGGAAGTGGCGGCAGCCGCAGGGCTGGGGCCGGGGCCCTCTGGACAGCACTTCACATTCCTCCTGCCTGAGCTCAGCAGGTTTCTTCGCCCAGGACGCCTCGCAGCCCCCTCGGGGGCCCGGGAACCCTCTCCCCCTTGCACAGGAGGGGAAACTGAGGCACAGCGTTGTCACGTTGGGGTGCACGGGAGGCCAGGGGCCCAGCAGACGCCGCCGGGCCCCGCGTTACTGAGCTGGCATGCGACTGCGGGTCTTGCACACATCATCCTCGGGCCAGGGTGCCCTGCGGGCTGCCGGGCAGTCGCTCGCCCGCCTGGTTTCAGCCCCAGGGAGACCGCAGGCTCCAAGTCCCTGACAGCTCCCGCCTCTCCCCATGGATGCACGCCTCAGCGGCCCCCAGGGCTCGGCCCACGAAGCCGCAGGCCCGGCTCCCCGCACCCGGGCACCGGCGGCTGCAAGCAGCAGCGGGCAGATGCGCCGGCAGTGCGGGGCGAGCCGGCCCTTCCCGAGATCCGCCCGGAGCTGATGAGCCGGTGCAGGCGGCTTCTCCTTCTGCGCCCCCTTGGCACACATGTCGGCAGCCTCCTTCGCTTGATCCCGTCTGCCTGCCTTTCCCCGACCGGTTTCACGCTCTTAAGCAACGGCCGGACCATTCCTGCAGGTCACCTGCATGTTGCTCCTCCAGGCCACGCACAGAAAGCTTCCTGTCCCCACCGCCTCTGCTGCCACGGGGCTTCTGGCCTCCGTCTTACCCATGCCCAGCTGCGACTAGGTCCTTCGCACCAGGAAGGTTTGAATCCCCCTCCTCCGTGGGCGGATCTAGAGTTTTGCAAAGGGGGTGCACACGGCGAGGTGCCTCCTCCCATATAACCCAACACATTTTTCTCCAGCTAAAAAGAAACTGGAAGCTTTGCTCGTGTGCCAGGGGCTAGGGCCGGGTTATTCGGCTGAAGATCGAAGCAAAAACAAAGACAGGTTCATTGCGATGAGTTCAAAAAAAAAAAGCTCCAGGGCTGTGAAGTAGGAGCTTCACGACCAGGAGCAGCTGGAGGCAGCTGCATGGCAGAAGAAAGGCTGGCTTGACCGGCGGGGCATCAAGGCCACTAAAAAGGAAAGAGGGTCGTTAACCCCGGTGGGATGAAGCGTTTAGGAGATGATAAGGAGCCGTGAATTCAGTCAACGCTGTCCCCGCTGCCTGGCTACGTGCTGCTGCTGGTGCCACGCGGCTGGTTTTAAGGAACCAGGAGATCAAAGGCGCAACCTTTGGGTCACAAAGAGCCGGGCCGGGCAGCCCCTCGGTGGGAACGCTCCTCTGGAGCCCGCGGGAGGCTGGGGCCTTGTCGGGAGGGCCGGGCTCGGAGCGGTGCTTGCTCCGGCGCGTTTGGCCCCTGGCGTGGGGCTGCACCGGCGCGGACTCGGCCCGTCCGGCTGGGCGAAGTGGCTCGCCTGGTGCAGGTGCCCTCACTGCTGCTCCTGTGGGATCCCGCAGTGCAGGGCAGGGGGCTCACCCCTCGGCCTCGCTCCGCGCAGCGGCCCGCTGCCTTCTGCGCTGCCCCAAGCTCCGCCACCGGCTTCTGGGTCCTCTCCGGGCTGGGGAATGTCCCGTCTCCCAGCCCTGGAGCGATGCGGAGTGCTGCCGGGGGCAGGGGGTGCCGGCCCCGGCCAAGCGCCCGAGCCCGCCTGAGGCCGCACGTGGAGGCGCGGCGGAGCTGTTGCGCAAGGGCGCGCGCGGAGCTGGACAAACCGGCTTCGGGCTGCGATAAGATAAGAGGCCTTCCTGGTCGATGCACCGGGCAGGCCCCGGCGCCGGACTCGCAGAACAGGGCAGGACATCAGGACACGGGGCTTCGTGCAGCCGGCAGGGTGGAGGGGGGCTCCCCCGGCATCCTCAGCCACCCGCAGACCTGCTCGTCTTTCCTCCGCCCCTGCCGTCCCCCCGGCGGGATGCAGGGAGCCCGCGGGGCGGGGGCACGGAGGTGCCGGGGGAGCGGGGAAGCTCTTCGCTGTGGCGAGCACCAGGTGTCACTCGTGGAGCAGCTTCTGCGGCTGCTGCCCGGGTCCAAGCCTGCTCCGGAGCCCCGGCACCCCACCGCCGTCTCCGCGGTCGCGCGTGTGCCCTGGGAGGCGCCTGGGCCGAGGGGGGTTTGCCCCGCGCCAGCCCCTGCGCGGCAGGGCGATGCATAGCTAGAGCCGCCCTCACAACGGGGACATCGCGGGGGCTCGTGCCCCGCCGGGGCTGGGGCGCCCGGCGCCGCGGCCGCACAAAGCGGCCGCCTCCCAGGCCATTTCCACGTCTAACGGGCCGGGGGCGCACAAAGGAGCATAATCGGCGTGGCCGGGCAGCCCCACGGCTGCGCGACACGTGCCACCCGGCCGGCCTGCCGGA